GCACATAGACTGGAAATGGGCTGGAAACAGCTCTCCTAGGATGGTATCCTACTGTTCTAATAGGCTTCTAGCCTGATAACAGTATTAATCTTGTGTCCATTTCTTTTGTTTATACATATCCTGCCTTTATTATTTTTACACACAACTCAAAGCAGCACATATATCTAATAATCCCTCCACTTCCTATTTTCTCCACAACAACAGTTCTGTGAGGTAAATTGGCTGAGAGTGATCGGCCCAAAGTCACCCAGTCAACTTTCATGCCTAAATTGGGACTAGAACTCAGTGTCTCCTTATTTCTAACCTGGTGCCTTAATTACTAGACCAATCTGGCTGTTTCTCTTGTTTCTAGTGATGGAAATAGAGTCCCTGGAAAAGACAAAAGTTAGCAAGCTCAACTCACTTTTCAAGGATCAGGCAATCAAAAATGATTGTTTTGATATAGGCATGTGGAGTCAGGTGGCAAAACATTGATCATGAAGACACAATGCAAGGTCTGTGTAACATATTTTGTATGGATACCAGGATGCAATTATATATGTTGAGTTTGAGTTACATTGTCATCCATGCATGTTATTTTTAATATCACTATGGCTAGCTGTGGACATCTATGAGTTCTGTCAAAAGTTAATTCTGTTATCATCAACAATTGCTTTCAACAATTGTGAGTAACTGCTCCTAGTTATTTTAGTTTTATCTACACATGCAAGCTGAAGCAAGATACTTTTATGATCTAAATGCTTTTTCTCAGAATTTCAACTCTCTGCAACATCCTATGTCATCCTTGCGTGAAATCCATAATTTCAGAAACTGATACTATCTTAAAATAGATTATATCAGAGTGCAATAGAAACAGAAAAACAAATCAAAACACAAAATTATTCTCTCTCATTCCAAAATTATTCATTGATGGTTTTCAAAATCTGCAAAATTTCAATACAAAAGATCAATTGCTGGACCAGCACATGCAGTATATGATTAAAGCATTGGAAAAATTCAGAGAATCCAATAATTCTGCTAAATGTTCCAAAGCAACCTGGAATGTTCTTACTAGCTAAGCAATGTCAACTGCTTAAAAATTATAGCAGCCACAATAACTTGCACTTAGTTAAATATCACAAGTGAAACTGGGATGTTTGGATGAAGTGCACATTTATAATATTGATCTAATCAATAAGAATAATTCAGAATAATTATATAAATGTTCTGGAACACTGACTGTGCAGCTGTTCTTAGCCAATATAGTGATATACTGAAACATCAGTAACTATTTGAGAACAACCCAGGCACATAACCTACAGCACTTAAAGCCATCAGAAAATATTTTACTAGTTCTGCCCACGTCATTCAACCAACAGCCCAGATACATATAAATTGATGCCAGATCTCAGCATGAACCTCTAGCGGCTCTTTACTTCTTTCCTGCTCAAATTGCTACAAGTTTTATCTACAAAATGAAGGTGGTACTAGTAGGGCTGCTTTTCCTCTGTGTCATGGCTATACATTCTGAAGCAACAACTATTAAACTCTGTGGGAGAGAATTTGTCAGAGCTGTTGTCTTTGCTTGTGGAGGATCACGGTGGAGAAGACAACTTGGTGACCCTTTCTCAGAAGTGCTCATAGGTAAGCATATAATTTCCCAAATATTCATAATTTGGCAAGCAATCAGTCATAAATAAATTTACCATTAACTTGATTTTACTATGCTATAGTTTAATAAAAAACATTTTAAAGATGAGTTATATTATAAAAGTAATAACATTATAACTAATAAAACAGAAACTAACATGGAGAAATCTCATTCTGCCCTATTTTGATGGTAGGAGCACCAGAAGAGGTTCTTAAATGGACCAGAGCTGGCAGTTATCTATTCAAGTCCCTATGTCTCAACCTATGCAAGCTTTGAAATATGCTACATAATATTGTGAGCAATATTGCATAGGATAATACATATAAATCAGTTTTTAGATTTCTACAAGCTATTTTTTAATGATAGGTGTTGGGATTATTTTGTTTTAAATAGATGGTTAGACAGACAGACAGACAGATATAGAGAATTGAATATAGAATATAGAAATTCAGAACTTTAAAGGAGTCTTCAGGAATATATTTTGGTGAATGAAGCAACATCTCTTAAGGCTCACTGAAATCAAGTGCATGATTACAAAACTCAAAATCAGTTTGCTTTTGATCTTTTGAAGTTAATATATAATTCCTATTCTAATTACAGAAGCATTTGGAAGAAAATATAATCATCTTCATTCTTTTGAAAAGAAGTTAGCTTCAGTTTAGGATATACTTTCTGGAAAAGCAAAGCTTTCTGAAAGCAATGCAGTTGTTCCAGTATAAATTCTTAGACTGAAACTTCCAGGTTGATCTTCTAAATATTAACAACACAGACTATGCACACAGGAAAAATTTAAAAACATCAACTTTTATTTGGTAATAGTTTTAAATTTTAGGTTTATGGACATAAAATCTGAACTTGCTTGCCTCTCATTTTTATGTAATGGAACAAGAAATGCATACATATTTATAATTTAATCTCATTCCACAGATGCCAATGGAAATTACATGGAGAAGTCAAAATCCCAAAGCAACGAATTAATCCAGTACTACATGGAGTCTGAGAAAGATTTGCAAGACATGCAACAGAAGTCTGTACACAAAAGAAGCAAGGATGTTGTGCAGCTTACAATCACTTGTTGTACTATTGGATGTAGTGCAAACACTATAAATTCACTGTGCTAAAATATTAAAGTCCTGCTATGGAAGCTTATCTAATTAAGACGCATCATGTCTAGAATATAGCATTTTCAAATCTTTTCTGTTACACTTTGTATTCCCCAGCTCTGCAGATGCTCCTAACTCCTATTTTGTTTAGGATATTACATAAATTAGAAACACATTATCCATACTTGTGTATCAGCCATCTGAAGTTAGTTGCTTTGTTTCCTAACTTTTGAAATAAATGTGCAATTCAATAAATTAGTTTCCCTAAACTGTTCTTGTCAATGCATAAAAATACTATTGGGCTTGCAAATTTAAAAAAATATATCTCTGAACATGTTTCACTTTCTTATGGAATTCAAAGAACAGTTTGAATGAATGATAGAGCTCGATGGTTCAGTTTAGGAGCTTTAATCCATGGTAAAGCTAATGGAAATCCTGACTGAAATCCTGGAATGACAGCCAGAAGAGACAATATCGATCTAGGCATTTCAATGTTTATTCTTCTAATTACTTCTTGCCTGGACTGATCTCAAAATAAAGATACTTCTGAGGTTTTTGCAAGGAAACTTGCAAATAGTGATGATAAATATTTGGTGGAAAAAGAAAAAACTATTTGGGGAAGGAATGCAGGAAAGAGAATGTTGTAATTTTTTTTTTACAGAGATAGGGAAAGGCCTACCAATATTCTTGGTTGAAAAACATTTGGTTTCAAGAAATGGTCAGTGTTCCAGAACAGCTGCAGCTAGCAGTCATATGGGCTACATATTTCACATTACTCTCATCTCACAGCCTCATTCCAAATGCATTTTAATGGGGGGGGGGGTTTGCCTCCATTGGACTACAGATTTCAGGTGGTGACTGTGATACCTCTACTCATAAGCCGCAAAGTTTTGTTACTGCCTTACTGTGATTCCAACATTTCATGCCTGAAATTTAAATCAGCTTCAAATCATGTGCTACCATCTGGGCTATTTATTCTTGTGCGTCTTGATCTTTTAAGACGAGTTATCATGTACTTATTAATGGAAAAACATAAATACAAATAGACAAAAGGTAACTATAAATGGTTTCTACATGTTTTTATTTCAAATTGAATCCTTGTATTTCTTTTTTGAAACTTTATACAGTTTATCAATACATTTAACAAGTGATTTTTAAATATTTTTATATTTATATTATTTAGTTGTATCTGCTCAATAGGCAGCCTCTTAGGAAGTGGGCTGCTCCTTAACCAGTCATGTCCTTATCTAACCATTTTACAAAAAGAAAGGGAAAAAACACAAATTACTATTGCTATTATCTACTGTGTACACTACCATATAGTTTCCCACTGCCTTTCTATTAACACATACATTTCTGCGAAAAGCCAAATTGTGTTTCTAATGGATCAGCTTACCTTTCAAAATAGTTATCTGTGTAAGTATAAACAAATCTGCTTATTATGCTTATACACCAATCATTATTCAAGAACGTAAACAGGTAATTGTATCTCACATTTAAACCTATTATTCCATCACAGGTAATTATAACAGGGATACTGAATCTCTTCCTGAAAACTACAATGGTGCTTCAAAGTTTGTGAACCCCTCTGAATTTTCAATATTTCTGCACAAATATTACTTAAAATAGGACCTGTTCTCCACATTAAAGAGAACCTAATTAAACTAATGAATCAGGAACATCATACTTGTTTATTTATTGAGGAAAATGATACCAAACCACACGCCATTAATGCAGAACCACTGAAAAGTCAAAAGGGTTCACAAATTTTTAAGCACCATTGTATTCAGGACCAAATAGCTGGGTCATTAGTTGCAATTACAATACGGGTGTCTCAAAAATTAATGTTTTCTTCCATAATTAATAGATTATTTAGTAAACATAACAACTATGCACATTAGTTTATTAATACAACTTATCACCATGTTAATGTTTGATTGATTTGATTTTATTATATTTATATGCCGCCCTTTTCCCCCGAAGGGGACTCAGGGCGGCTCACAATTCAAATCAGGGAAGGGGGGTACAAACAAAAAATTAAAAAATGAAACATAACAATGCATAATTTAAAAACACACAACAGTCATACCATTCGAGATGGGGGCAACAGCTCTTTAGCCCCAGGCCTGTCGGAACAGCCAGGTTTTAAGGGCTTTGCGGAAGGCCTGGAGGGTGGTGAGGGTTCGAATCTCCATGGGAAGTTCGTTCCAGAGGGTCGGAGCAGCCACAGAGAAGGCTCTCCTCCAGGTAGTCGCCAGTCGACACTGGCCGGCGGATGGAATTCGGAGGAGGCCTAATCTGTGGGATCTAATCGGTCTAGTGGAGGTGATTGGTAATGTGGATTGGTAGTGGAGGTAATGTGGATAGAAGTATAATTAAAAAATAAGATCTAGTTTGTTTTTCAGTTCACATCTTTTGCATCATCATTCAGAATAAAGGGCATAGACATTTGCAAGAGCAAACAATGATCTATTTTTAAAGGAATATGAAGAAAAAGTATCACTTGTAGTGTCCCAAAGACATCTGCTTCCAATCTGCATGCTCTGTTTACCTAGCTGTCCAATGTATATAATCACAATAATTTTGTATCTTGGTACCATCAGGTCTTTTATCCTGGCTTTTATTACCTAGGAGAAATATATACTTGCTTAAACTCTTAGTTACTGTTAGAGTTAGAATTAGAAATTCTTAGAATACAGTACAAATCTGTTTAAAACCATTCCATTTTAAGTACAATTGATTATGAAATTGGATTTATAATTCCAAATAATTTAGAAGATCAAGTACTGTTGATTGAAAGTCACAAAAGCTGATTCTACAGTTAGTCAGGGCAATTTACTCCTATGGTATAGACAGTTATAAATTCCTAAATTATAGATTGCATCATAAATTCTTGACCTTCAGCTGTTCCCTCATGCAGCAATGACATCGTATTCAATAATATATAAAGGTATATAATAGAGAAAAGTACATTCTGAATAGCCTGAAAAGTTCTTTGCAATTTCTTTTTCTATTTTACAAAAGAATAGTAAAGTAGCACTATGAGCTTCTCAACAAATAACTTGAGATATAAAATCATAGCTGAAAAAGTTCATTTGAATATGTCCTGACACAGGCTAACACAATTATCAAATATTTTTAAAGCTATCTTAATATTTCACTCTTAATGTCCCATTGTTGTGTTGTGTTGCTGAAAAACAATTGAAACTTCGTTCAAATAAAGCTTAAGATAGATTCCCCTCTATCTGCACTTTAGAGCTTCTATAAGATCTATTCCAATACTGATTTTAATTCTTACTTTAGTGATAATTTTGTACCTCAGATATAGTTTTAGTCATTTGCCTGCACAACTCTGCTTCATATTGTTCTTCCTGTAGATAACTTACTACCACATCCTTCAAGATGTTATTCACAGCAGTGACTGGGAAATACTTTGTAGGACCTGAGAAGCAGAGAGATAACTCATTTTATTTAATCCATGTCATTCCTTTCTATTTGATTAAAAAGTAGATAACAATTATTAAAACAGAAATAGGAAAGGTGTGTAAACTGACTTTAATATTAATCATCAGTTAAAATTTGACAAAAGAGTCCCTTCTTTATAAATTTGCTAAACACAGAGAGAAAATGGAGCTAGGGTAATTTCTAAGGAAGTGGTTTCCATAGCCTGAAAGGATTTAGGAATAGGACCTTCTTGCAGATGCCCATTTTGTGATATTCATAAAAGGGGAATCTTCAGAAGGGCCTCTGCTCTTAAAGCCTGAACAGATTTACACTGGTGGGGGGTGTTCTCCTTCAAACAGTTGGTCCTCAGGCTGTTTAGAGCAGAGGTCCTTAATTTTTGTGTGTGTTCTCTTTGAGAATCTGCTGAGATCTCTGGAGCCTTTCTTAGAAAAAAATGGATTCAGTGATGCTCAAGTCCCCTAAGAAACTTCCAATCTATCATCAGCATTTCTATTGTTAAATTTTAATTTCAACTTCCCTCCCCATTCAGCCCAACTCAGAAAAGAGGGTTTTTAGAATAATGGTAGATTTTGTTGATGTGCTGATGGCACTTCACTCCAAGATTCTGATCTCCCAGGTGACTGAATCTAGATATTGAACAGCATGGAGGACTGAATATAATGCTTTGAGACAAAGCAGCTAAATGATCTGTGATTTCAAAAAGTAACTCCTTAGCCCTTCCTTCTCAAAACCAACTGATGGAAAAGAGTTACACTGCAAAACTGTTGGATGTTTGAATTATTCAGAGCTATGTCTTTTGTTAGTAGCTTTCTGGGTTAAATGTGCTTTTTGCTGGTCTCTCATGTTGGATGGCAACTTTATATTTTAATGAGCATCTTCCTGAAACTTTGAATTACATTAAAGCAGAATGCATATATTTAGTATCTGTGAATGTCTTTTTTTCCAAACTGGATTTAAATAAAGCTGTTGATTTTACAAAAGAATTGAATAATAGCATTTTTATAAAGAGTAAAGGACCATATTATTGTTTATGAACCTTCCCTTTTTTAAAATTTCATTTCTCTTTTAAAATTATTTTTAATGTAACTATACATTTGTCAAGGTATGCTATATATAATCTTTGGATGGTTTTTTTTAAAACCTATAACTTTATTTTCAAAGTGCAGTATATGCATGAAATTATATTATGAAATCATTCCAAATTGATAAAAAGTTTGGCAGCTCCATACCAAAAAAATTGATTGCCTGCAAGACATTCATAATCTTCAAAAGGCAATGTTTCAATAGAGTTATTAGCTTATAACTCTATTGAAACATTGCCTTTCCAAGATTATGGATGTCTTGCTGCCGATCAATTTTTTTCCCAACAGATTTCCTTCCGACATATACTTTTTTAAATTGTATAGTTTATTTGTTCTGCATCTATGTTTTTCATTCCTACCCAATTGAAAGCAGGAAGGCAACTTTATTTTGCACTAAACTGTTTTAACCCTGCTTTTAACAAAATATAAGGACGTTACTGTAAAGTATATCCATCCTCAAAGCCTGCCATATTGTGTCATTATACTAGGAGGGGTAATCTTGGGAGGGATGTTCAAAGAGGCTGCAGGCATGCTCCCAATGTTCATACTAAGGGTACCAAGCTGAACCCAGCTTCCCAGCTAAAATAAGAAGCACCTATATCGGGTAGCAATAATAAAAGAAGATGCTCAAGACAGATAATGACTTTAGAGGTTGATGACTTTGGCAATCAAATTTAGTCTGGAACTGATGGAACATGTAAGTAAGATATATTCTTCTAATTGGAGATTAGAATGTCAAAGTTGGAAAGAGAAGGAAACAGCATGACCTAGAAACCGAAGAATGATGTCTGGTTATGAAATACCTAGGCTGCTCCTACTGCTTGATGCCATCACCTTTATTAAATATACTTGTTTCACCATTATTATCAGTCTTGCATAAGTTAATCCGGTCTAGAGAATACAGTAAGTCCTAAATATCTTACATGGGGGACTGGACAATCAATATGAAAATTATATTTACCTAATTGGTATGTGTTCTCCATCTGAATAGCTGGACGCAGGCTATCTTCATGGTGGCCAGGTTCATCCATATATGACACAGTACTTACAGAGCTAAACATAATAACCAACAATAACTGTATTCATTGCCATATTAATTTAAAAATGAACAACCTGTTCAAGTATTATCAAGGAATGTAAGAACTATCAGAATAGGGATTCTTGGTATGTTAAGCTCCATTGATTTTGTTCATAATAATAAGTATAGTCTTGATATAGAATTTTTTTTTGTTTAAAATATTTTATTCATTTTCATTTTCATTTTATATAATCACATATATACTGTGCAAGATTGAGGCCATATAACATTAAGCAATAAACATAACTCTTCTTATATTCCAAAATACAAAACCAACATAACGCTTCAACCCTCCATACACCCTTTCTTTCTCCCCCCTCCAACTTTCCTTTCTCCCCTTCAACATTCCCCTCTTCTACTTCCCCTCCCCCTTAACATTCCTTTCTCCTCCTCCCTTCCATCTCACCCTCCTTCCATTCCACTCTCACTTCATCTCCTGTTCAAGTATTATCAAGGAATGTAAGAACTATCAGAATAGGGATTCTTGGTATGTTAAGCTCCATTGATTTTGTTCATAATAATAAGTATAGTCTTGATATAGAATTACTCCCATGCCTGGAGAAGTACAAGTCCACAAATCTTAAAGTTGCTGAGGTTGCGGAATATTGCTCTACAACAACTCTGTTCTTTACATGACAACCTTTTAGTTACTTGAAAACTGCCATTTTTATTCCCTTCCATTCTGTCTATTCTTTCCAATCTCATCTTGCAACTGGAACATACCCCATGGTAGAACAACATGCTATGAAATAACTATAGAATCTTTATTCAATATGGTTCTCAGGACAGGACAGCTTCTTAAAAATAGCTAAATACTCTAGGAGTTTTTAACTATCACCGGGCATTTCCATGGCTAAATATAAAACAGTGTTAACCTCAGGGTGCCCAAAGGAAATAACCCAACAGACTACCAAAGAATTAATAAGATGAAAAATAAGAAAATATAACACTGCTACTTACTCTTTGTTTCTTCCAAAGAAATCCTTTGCTCTGATCTCATGGCTCCCCAAAGAAGATGTGCTGCCTCTGTTCTTGGCCAAGCGGGTGGCTTTATCCTTCATGATCTCTGACATATTTACTAGACATGAATTATACTTTAAACTTAATATTTAGCTGAAAAGGTATTGGCAGCTGATAAAGAAATGAATGTCCATTTTACAAAATCAAATAACTGAAAAGGCGTAAATGTAAATTGCATTAGCTTTTAAAGTCTTTGGCAAAAACAATTACATCATCACATAATTATGTTTTTTTTCTTTTGTAACCTGTAACCTAAGTGGAATTGAGAACCACCTATGATCACAGCATTACTACAAACAAGATTTTGCAACTCCCTTGTTTGCAATCAAAATGAGAGGAACGGGGCACTAACAAAAATCAAGAGTACTTCAGAGAAAGTTGTTAATTCTGGGATACAAATTCTGCACTTATTACTATCCAGATTCAACAAGTGACACTTTAAAATAGCAAATTTATTCTTGGGAAAACCCACAGCCAATTATACTTCTATCATACATTCAGTGTGTTTTCCAGTGTTTTTTTTTTAATACTATAAGAAATCCATAAGTTGAACATTCAATTCATGCTCCACAAACTCTACATTCTCCTCAGGAGATATCCCTATTGATGTTTTGCCCTTCTATTTTTGTCCGTTCAACTGGACTTTATTGGTTGTTGTTTTTTCCTTTGGAAACATTTTGCTTTCTCATCCAAAACTTTTCTTCAGGTCTTGGGTGAGAAGCGAAGTCTTCAAAGAAAAAACAAAACAAGAAAGTCCAATTTCTTTGGGGATTTTAATGCCTAGGGAAATGAAATCAGTGATCTGTGTAATTATTTCAAATGCTATATTCTGCTTTAAATGAAACACCCCACCAGGTCTGCAAAAATTCATTCTCTCAGGGGTCCCAAAGGTGCATTTTCAGGAGGCAACTGGCCTTTGTTGTTTTTTTTCTTTTGAAGATGTTTCGCTTCTCATCCAAGAAGCTTCTTCAGCTCTGACAGGATAGCGGGGAATGGTGTCAGAGCTGAAGAAGCTTCTAGGATGAGAAGTGAAACGTCTACAAAAGGAAAAAAAAACAAGAAAGTCCAGTTGCCTCCTGAAAATGCACCTTTGGGACAAGCATGACCTGGATGGCTGATCATCTCTACAGTCTTTCTCCCAGGGGAATCCGACTTCGACCGATCGCCTGGAGGAGATCAAGGGGCTTTCATTGTCCTTGTGGGACGTTTCCAGGTCTCCAACTTGAGTCCGAACCCAACCCAGTGCCGACAAAAACATGCTCTTTACCCCATTAACTAGTCCGCCAGACTGCTCACCGCGCCGTCCTATCTCGACTGCCAACCATCCGAACCACCGCTAAGTGGCATCCAACTGAGAAGCAACCTTTTACTCCTTGCTGCGTTTTGCCAGCTATCCGGACGCTGGGCACCCGAAAGACGGTTGCCGCGGTCCTTACCGCTTTCGCCGCAGCAACCCTGGGAAGCCGGAGATGTTGCTGGTTTCCCGGACGACAACTTGGGCCCTCGACGGCTGAGAGGGAAGGGCGGTCTTAGCCTTGCCTCCGCCTCCAAGAGAGGCTGTGAGGGAGTGGAGCGGAGCGACTCGCGGCGAGAGAAAGACAGGCTGGCATTTGTGGCTTCAGGCGCCCATGTTGAGGTGGAAGAGAAGGCTGCCAGGGCGCAGCGTGCGAAGAACGCGACTGGAAGTCCGCTCCACCGTTCAAGCGGTAGAGCGGACTAGCCGCCAGCCAAAAAGGGAGTTTAAAGCAAAAGCTCTGCGCGCGCATCTACCCCGCCGGCTCCTTTCCCGAGCTGCACCTTTTGCCGCTCTGCCTCCCGAGCCGCGAGTGGGTTTTTCGGCTCCCGTTTTTCTCTCCCCGCTGCGAGGTTGCTCCGCCTTGGAATCTTGCGCGCTCGGGGTTCTTGGTCGGCCTCGCTCGGGGCGAGGAAGCGTTGTAGCCTTTCTCTGGGCTGCCCCGAGCCGCGATCTCCAGCGGGGTCTATGACAATAAGTCACGGCCATCTCGCCGCAGGCAACTTGGCGCGGGACAACTCGCCATGGGACAAATTGCTGGGGGACAAGAGTTACACTAATATCAAATACATGGTGGAATAGGAATCATCAAAGAAAGGATGCCAAAGGAGGGACAGAACGGAATGTGGGTGACAAAAAATGAAATCATTGTTTCTATATTTCGAATAATTAAATTGAATTGTTAAAATGGCCTGTGAGTTGTCCGCTCGGCAAGTTGGCCCTGGTGAGTCGTCCCACTCCGGACTTCCAGTATCTTGCAGTTCGTGTCTCTGAATTCCTAGGCGAGCAGCCTTTTGATCCTCCCTATGATTGGAAGGACGGGGGGGGGGTGTACTGAGGAAAACCCCTTAATAGTTTATTAGCTTATGGGGCAACTTTGGCTTCCTGAGAATATGACCTACAGTGTTTGCCTAATATATAAAAATTGTTGCTTCTTCCTAGCGTTTTCCCTCAAGTGTCGGATCTGCTTTCCCCCCCAGATCAAGTGAGTGGTGATCTACTGGTTGTGACAGGAATTGACTGACTGGCTTATTGCCAAAGCCTGAGATCATAGAAGGAGTGACTGACCCAAAGTCACCCAGTCCTCTCTCCTGTAAGGACACAGGCATCAACCTAATTATCCCTTTCTCATCTAAATGTCTGGGACATTCTTTTATTGTTAAGAATTACATCATAGATACATTTTGTGGTCATCTTTAAGGCTGATATTGGGTAGGAAATGAACTGAAAGGAACATAATTAAAATTGGGTACACATGAAGACAACTTAAAAGACCTAGAATGGAATACAAAACAATATGTCCTGGTGAAAATTTATCGCCCAAGGGATTTCCCCCCCATATATGTCACTTGATGTGCCCTTATCACCGCATGGGGCTCAGTGAAAACTAATCTTAGTACATTGAAAATAGCAAATATTCTGAATTCTTTCCTTTTTCCTCTACTTCCATGTCTTTGTGTGGTTGGACATAAATGCATCTCTGCATGTATCTTTCACACTTGGTTTATTTTCTCATTAGAGAAACTAGCTGCCCACTAGACTATGGCTACCCAGATAGGCTTTCCCATTTATTTAGCTAATTGTATTGGGCTCCTGAAATAAGTATGATTTGCTGAAGATAAAAGTGAAAGAAAAGATTGCTGGGTTTACATTACCTTGGTAGACTTACAGAGCGTAAACATTGTTATCCACTTCCTTTCCCTGCATGTGAGGATTGAAGCTGGCTATGAAACCAGTGGGGTTGCAAAGAAATATAGCAGCTGATCAAATTTATTAGAAAAGCAGTTATGCTTCGAATGATCAGTAATAAATGGAAATGAGGCCACAAAACAACTTGCTGGCTAGATACTATCAAAGTCAATAGCAGCCAGACTTTAAAAAACCCTGAAAAAGTCATACAAGTTAATTCAAGATCAGAAAATGTGAAAAGAGCTGGTCCAGAGATTCGCCGAAAATTGGGCATGATTCAACGGATAACATCATTATCACCATCATTTTAACTGATGTGATATCTTCGCAGATGGTAGCGTCTTACATTGGCTGATCGTAGAAACTGGGTAAAGTCAGAAACTGGTTAGCATTAGATGGGGATCATTTGGAAATTCCAGGGCTATTGGCCAAATTGGAAAGGTGAAAAATCAACTTGGAAAAATGGAATATAACTATTGAGATATTAGTTTCTTCACCACAGCAGAAAGCTCCTTTGATAGTTCTACCACAATAAAATCACCTGTCTCTAACATTGCTGAATTGATGCTGTCAAAACCAGGATTTGTGAGTGGTTTTCCCATATCAGGAGGAGGAGGAGGCACCCTCAGACATGATATGAATTTGTTCTTCTGAATTGATTCTGCCTCAAATAAAAAGCATGTTTAATTGCCAGTGTTTTTGAACATTTCAATGGGAGAAGAGTTATACCAACATCATAGTTACCTCTTTTGTAATACTCCTTGAAGCACCATTTGTTTCAGACTTTCTTCAAAAACTAATTGTACATTAGTTATTATTAGTGTCACCAGTACTGCTAACGTTAAGAGAGTATTAAACAAATAGAGCTATTAATTAAAAGTAATGTGAGTTGGAAGAAGTAAAACAAAAAGCCAAAACAAAATGTTACTTTTAGATTTCTCATTTATTTTCAAAGGGAAAAAGAAAGTCACATTTAAATTACAGCTTAATTGTTATTTAATGTTCTCCTTGTGTAACTTTCATAAAGTTTGTTCTGAAATGGGAACCCTATTTGTATAATATGTGTGATAAACAATTGCATATTTTGGGTTTTTGTGAAATGGATGTTTAAGGGAAATTATGAAGAAAATCCATTTATAAAAATCATTATTTACAAAAAAATAGACATTTGTTTTCTAATCTAAAAGGAAAAGAAACATTGAAAATATGTGGTTTTATGATTATCTTCAACAAGTCAATACAACACATTCATATCACCAGTGGCTTGATTCAGAACTTTGAGGCAGGAACTCTTGATGCCACAAACGTTTTCTACAATTTACATTTTTTGGGAGGGATACCACCATATTGGCAGCAATGTTTCATCATAAACTAAGCAGTAAACAGCCAACTAGACTATAAGGATAGTGTATTTCATTTCACACAAAATCTGAGATGTCCAGACTTAAACTTTAATGTTTAAAAATATACATGTGTATTTTGTGTCCACAAATATCTATAAACAGTTTGTACACAGGTTTTTAAAATATAAAATGATACAGTATGATATCTGATAAAACACCATGGAATCTATTTCAGGACTCAAATACTGTATCTTTTAGAAGTAAAACCCAGGATCTGCAAATGCTAAACTGCATGCCGGTAAATAATGTTTTTTTAATATAAAGTATACAACAGTTCAACATGACTGAAATTTAATATTTAGTTTTTCTGAGCCTTTAATCCAAAATACATGCATGCCTACAGTTTATCAGCCATTAAAACATAACTTCAGAAAATTAGTATCTTCTAATGCACTAATATTACTAGTGTGTTAGTGTCCCCAACTGAGATGCATTTTTAGACTCACAGATTGAAGGTAACAGTTCTCATATGCACGTTCATCTGAAGCACAATTATACAATTTTTAAGAAGTTAATAAGTGTGTAAGGCAGATTTTAGACTTCCACAGATTGCTTGGTCTGCACTGAAATGCTCACCAAACAATCAATAACCAACTTTAATCATTGCCAGTGTAATATTGGATTGGGGAAACCTAGGTTCTAGACTCCTTTTGGCTACAAAAATCCATTAGGCGATTTCAGACTAGTCACAATGGTGAAAGTGGCACAAAGTGTTTGGGTATAAGGTGTATATCTTTGGTGGGGTATGCGATGTGATGAACATAGAAAATAGGGCTTGTATTGCAGTGATCTTTGTGTTATTTTGATGCACATTCCTTGCTTTGCTCCTCTCATTTAGATGCTGATATTTAAGATTGTTAGAAGGAAAAATGGGATGAATGATGTCATGTGTAACATCTTGAGCTGAATGAAAGATGGGATATGGATCTAATAAATAAACACCCTAACATTTGAAATCTAAAAGGTACCACCTTCAACTGTAGCAAATCCTTCTTGCCACTTAAAAAAGAGAAATTGTTCAGAGTGGTTTGCATTTTTACTGACTCTATGGGACACATTCTTAATCGTTTAAGATGATTAGCATCACTGGAATTAGCTCTTGCATCAACTGATACTTTCAGAATCTGCCAGGAACAGAGTTGTACATTTGGAAGCAAAAATAGTTTGACTCAATGATTGAACAGTTTGATTTTGAAGTAATCAAGTGTTTTGGCTATCATGATAAAATACCATGATGAATTTTTAAATTAGGAATTTAAAATGGGGAAAATTATTAAAATATAATTATGAAAATTATAAAAATATGCATTTCTCAGCTAATGCATTTATTTTGTCATATCTAAGAAATGTCTTCTGCCCAGATCAATTTGATAATACATAGCTCATAAAGATAAATAAAATGTATGTGCAGTTTCTTCATAAAGTAGATGTGATGGTAGACATAACAATAAAAAGTAGTTCCCCTAAGTCTCAGATGGAACCCAGGCAGAAGAATTACACCCACATATAACACATACACACACCCTCAACAGTAGGTACATTTATTTCATATGTTACAGAGTAGATATTTCCATCCTTTGGAACGATCTTGACACACAGGATCAGGATATCCCTCTCTTACCCTTCATATGCCTTGGAGTATAACTCTCCAGATTCAGAGCTAACATTAGCGATGGCTGCTGTACCTAGGAATCATAATAGAAAATCACACATGGAGAGTACCAGACTTGCAAGATTTTCAAGCTATTGGGAGAGTGCATATCCAAGAACAAGATGAGCCTAGTCTACTCACCAGGAGCAAAAAGAAAACTATTATTTTGTGAACCTCCATGATGTAAAGGAACAATTGAAACACACATACTTTTCTATACAAAGATGATAGCAATAGCAATAGCACTTAGACTTATATATCACTTCATATTGCTTTACAGCCCTCTCTAAGCAGTTCACAGAGCCAGCCTATTGCCCCCAACAATCTGGGTCCTCATTTTACCGACTTCGCAAGGATGGAAAACTGAATCAACCTTGAGCCAGTGGGAATCGAACTGCTGGCAGTCAGCAGAATTAGCCTGCAATACTGCATTCTAACCACTGAGCTACCATGGCTCTTAAATGATGCTTGAAATGTATTCTAATACACATATTAAAGCATAGTACAGGTAGTCCTCGACTAATGACCAATCACCTAAAGATCACACTTTAGGAGGGCTCTGTATCTGGACCCCATTTAGAGTCATTTGCAGTGTCCTGTGGACCTATGACAGTATTTTACAATAATTTCATGAAAAACTAACAGTTGCTTCCAGTTTTTGCCAAAACTGGCCCCATGGAAAGCTTTGCGTCATTTAATGACCATGGAGAAAAAGGTAGAAAAATCAGTCACATGACCAACTCACTTTATAATCGTGATAATTTACAAGCATAATGGGCAGGCTCCATTACAGTTGTAATTCCAGGACTACCTGTTAAGCATTCTCCCTCCCTCCCTCCCTCCCTCCCTCTCTCCCTCTCTCTCGTATGTATGTATGTATGTATGTATGTATGTATGTATGTATGTATGTATGTATATGTATATACACATACATACACACACTGTACATACATATATGCACATACATACTTTACAGCATAATTTCAAATTAGTATGGTATGTCTTATCCTTGAGCAATTAAAACATACACTATCTGAGTGCCGTGTAGATGATGAAAGCAGGACTTTTATGGCACCATGAACAAAAAAAAAATGTCTGAATGACTTCTCAAAATAAATCCAATCTTTCAAACAGAGGCACATCATAAATATCAGCCTCCCAAGTAGATCAGACAGGAAACGTGACATATAAGTTAATTCTATTTTATTGTAAAGGTACATTCTCAGAATCTTGCAAGTCTGAAAGTACAAATCTCCTGAAGTCACTTTCTACCTTCTGATAACTTAGGAAAGATCTTTTCTAACTTCCTTTCTCTGGCCAATTACTCAGTGGTGGATTACTTCCCCTTTACTCTGATTGCTCCCAGAGTAGCATCTCCCCTCACCTGCTCCCCCCCCCCAATTTTCTAAGGCTATTCTCCCATTCCAATAAATCAAAGAAATAAAATTAGAGGAAAATGTGGAAGCGTGAAGTAGGAAGCAAGCCAGGGGAGGAGACAGGTAGTCCTTGACTTACAACCATTCATTTGATGACTGTTCAAAGTTGCAACAGCACTGAAAAAAGTGACTTATGACCATTTTTCACACTTACAACCATTGCAAGCTTCCCCACAGTCACATGCTCAAAATTTGAGCACTTGGCAATCACCGTGCAATCATTGCAGCGTCCTCTTGTGATGTGACCGTCATGTTGACCTTCCCATCCAGCTTCTGCCAAGCAAAGTCAATGGAGGAAGCCGGATTCGCTTATCAACTGTCTGATTCACTAAACTATCGCAGTGATTCACTTAACAACCGTGCAAAGAAGATTGTAAAATCAGGCACAATTCACTTAATAACCACCTTAACTTAGCAAAAAAAATTCTGGTCCCAATTGTGGTCCAGGACTATGTTTAATGATTAGGGCAGGAATGTCAAACTGGTGGCCCGCGGACTGGATCTGTCACGTGCAGGCTACACCCACCCCGGTTCCACAAAGGCAAAAAACCATCACAATACATCATGTGATGCGATCGAGTATGACACCTGTGGGTTAGGGTGTTGAATTAGGAACACAAAGATCTAGGTTCTAGTCCTTCCTTAGGCCCAAAAGCTAATTGGGGTGATCATTGGACCAGTCATTCTTTCTCAGCCCTAATCCGTATCCAGCTCTGCAACAAGCTACATGAAAAATAACACCTCTTGTGCTTTCATGATCAATAGGTTTTACTAAGCAGTCTCAGTGGAAAACCAACAGACGCTGCTATTAAATAAGAGCAACAAAAAGGAGGAAGAACAAAGACCTTTTATATTCTAATTGCTGTCTTAAATTCATAATAAAAATATAAGTCCACCAAACCTAGCTGGCTACCTAAGCAGCATAGATGATATTCATTTTCTAAATGGGCTTAAAACCAATTTGACTTTTTTCTGACTTTACTGAAGTCCTTGAAATTAATATAGTAATTTATGATGGCTTGGCTTTAGAAGAAACAAAATATCTATTTTTTTTAATAGAAATGTTTTTTTTAAATAATAATTTCTTCTACATGGAGCCTGATCCTATGGATATTTGCAGGCAGCCCCATCACAGATCTGCTATGAGACTTTCCTGCGAATAAGTGTGCACCAGAATAGGGCTCTGCTTACAGCTATAATGATAACACGATCCATTTGACAGTCCTTGCACACCAATATAGGCAATTGCTTCCCATTGTAGCTTGCTTAAACGGCATGCTAGATGTTTCATTTACTTTTCTTTTATGAAGCAGAGTTGCTGGAATATGCTTTTTATAAAGATGATTCATTCAGCTGCAGCACAGAATTCATATATCTGTATGCTTACCCTGTTGATTAATGTTCTGACTTTCAGCTAATACATTTTGTTTCCAGCTATGAAATATCAAGCTGGACACAAAACTGTAATTATAACCTGATTTCGGTTAAAATGTTCTATAAAGTCCTTCCTAGTTTTATAGATCTTGGTAAGCCTTTATTTTAGAAGAATTACCTGTAGTAATGACTAGAATGAGGAGCCTTAGGAATAAAATGTTCCCGTTTAATCGCTAGCTTTGCTCACATAAAACTAGAAGGATGTTTGTAAGGAACAATCATATCACTAAGCAAGAGCAATACTTACATTTTTGTCCATTGTTATATTGTTATTAAGGAACAATGATTTAACCTTTTAACCTGTGTCTTTCTCTCTGCTTCTTAGTAATTTATTTCACAGATTTTAAAGGCTGATACATTACAATAGCCACTTTCAGGATGCCCTGAAGCAGAGCCACAAACCATGCTGGTTAGGAATTCTGTGGGATGGACTTTTGAATGGCCCCAACTTGAGGAAAGCTAAGCTAAGCTAAACTTCTACTTGGAAGTTTATTTTTGATAAATAAGCTCAGAAACAATCTACAAGCAGAATTTTTTAAAAAATCTGTCTTATATTACATCATTCATATTTTTAATAATCTTAATTAATAATTCTAATTGTACTAAGGAAACAGGAATCATCAACAAAAAAGCCTAATTTGAAATTAAACAGGTATATAAATCAAGCTTCACTAAGAGTTTTTTTCCTATTAAATCTGGTAAAAAAAATAGAATTGTGTAATTGGCTAAAGATTCAATCACTATTTTTCTTTTTTCAGAAGTAAATCAAGACTTTCTAAAGAAATGCCAGTAAATGTATCACTGGTGGCTAAATTGTTAAAACGATGAGAATTTATTTTTTTACTGGATGCTATTATTTTAGATGCAAGGTAAGGCCTATATGCCAATTCATTGCAAAAATAAAAGATAAAAATCTATAAGTCATGTGGTTTCTAACATCTTTCTTGGAATCCATATAATCTTTCTGAGCTTTATATTTCAGACATAGCAAATTATTTTAATTTAAACTGAATTTTCATTTTATATTTATCAATAATCTTTCTGAGCTAATCTTTATATTACAGACATAGCAAATTATTTTAATTTAAACTGAATTTTCATTTTATATTTATCAATTGAAGAGTTTAAAGATTTTCATTATTAGCTTTAATGTTATATTTTTGAAAAATGGAGGGGGTTCTCCACATTAAAAAACTACTTACAAGTAAATTATTTCCTTTGCATAAAATTAAGTCTTTAGTTCAAATCAGAATATATGAAATTTCTGTTGGCGCTAAGGAAATGCACAGATATCGGAAATGGCTAATAGAGACCCAATTACTTGGTAACTGGCATGCATTGTAAAACAAAAGCGAAACAATTTCAGAGTAGAAAAATTGTCTATTCTTTAAGGAAGCAGAAATGTGCTTTGTAGGACTTTTGTGATATTGGATAACAAATGCTAGCAATAGGCCAATTTCACTTTCAGAGGAAAGAGCAAAGATGGTAAGATTTATAAAAATGCAAAGTATAAACACAAAGATAACTTTTCCATTTCAAACCATGCGAGCTCTAGCAAAAATCAATCTTTATCGTATTTATCAGTGAGATTGAGAAGCCAGTGAAGCTTAAGTGGGGGACATATTTTTTGGATTGTATATTATATTTTCCATAAAATTAGCTCTATAGTTTTCAAATACGAGACTCATACCAAAAGGAACTAATAAAACAAGGTATTTGATGTATGTGGAATTTCAATTTCTATCACTGCAAGATATATATTTTTCATACTGGATGATAAACAAATATATTCATGCCCAGATAGAGCCTTTAATTTTGTCTGCTTGTTTTAATGCAGACATAGCTGCTTATCAAGCACAGCTATTTTCACATGCAAGTGAGACAGTTGGATGCCAACCTAGTTAGACCACAGTTTATAAAAATACTAGTCATAAGCACAGAAAATAGCAGAACAGATACTCTGCACCTCTTTACAATGACTTCTCACACAGTATTCCTTATTCCTACTGCATTGAGCTACAGTTCAGGTACCATTTGAACAGATAGATGTGTAGCATTTATACACACCTAGTACATTAGCAATGGAGAATCAAATCTTTTGCTTTTTCAGACCCTAAGAAATGTAACACTGACTAGCAACTTGAAACCTGCTTGAAGTAGAGTATCCTGGTGTTTAAGGAACAAAAACAAAAATTCAGCAATTATTTTGTCACCTGTTCTGTGCTGTTCAAATGGCTTCTTTCTTTCCTTTTTTTTTTTTTGCTTTCAAATACAGATCGGCCAGGCTACAAATCTTGATATGTATGGATGATATCTGTGTAATGTGTGTCCACAAGACACACACATTCAGACATGCTTCTTAACTTACACATAAGTTAAAATCTAGCTGAAAAAACACAATGCGGTGAGAGCCAGTTTTTGGCATGCAAATTGTCCTGTAAAAATAAGCACATCCATGAAACCAGAGGCTTGCTCAGGTAAAACATAAAACCACCACCACAGGATTTTTTCTCTTCGACGCTGGTTATTTGTTAGTCAGTTTCCCCTTGCACCAGGTGCAGTGAAAATAGTGGGAAGTGCGCCCTGCTGCCTTTTCTGTGCTTTCCTTCCTTTTTCCATGCCAGGCTTTCCAAACTGGTGCTTGCATGCCAGCTGATGTCCAGCATATCTGCAAGGTACCAGGATGGGGAAGTCTGCATAGAGCTTGCATAGCAGAAATATTTCTAAACCATTGTGCTCTTCCTTTACCTTCATGTTCACTCATGTTAGACTAACAAAAAGAAACGCTATCTCAGTACAAGCTTTATCTCAGCCACAGGTTCTAACAGTTATCCAAAAGTTTCTCCCACCCCACCCCTTTTTAAACTTACTTGATGGGAATGTTTAAAGCTGAAATACTACATCTGTACCATAGTCACCTCACCATTTACTCTGAGATGTTCTGAAGTTAAACCAATTAAATATTTAAAGTCATATGTGTTTATTTATGTGACTATATTTGTATGACATATGCTATCAACTGAAAAAAATAATCAATGAATTTGCAGGTGAGCTAATTTTGATATTCTTTTTGAGGCACTCCTTTTCTCACAACTGTTAGCATTGTGTTCAAATTGTATACATTGACAAAATGCATCTGCCTCTGAAAGCTTGTCTCATTCAGCATTACTACTATTAAATTTATATATATCACAGTTTAAATTACACCCATTTCTTGAACGATAAAATGCTAAAACTCAAGTGTATAACTGCCAAAATACAGCCTTACTAGAATGAGTACAATTTACAAATACAATAATTACAATTTAAAACATGAACAATGTTACATCTAGAAGTAAATACTGTAGGACTGATCAACATGGCATTTTCTGAGAGAGAAATGTTGAATTGCTGATGCTTTCAACAGAAATGTCCTGAATACAGGATTTAGTTAGTTTCCCCTCAACAGCATATAAAAACCATCCAACCACTGCGGTCCTCAGTTATATGGATTTTCAACATACTTGCATATACTTCAGTTAGTTATCTGCCAGGTACTTTCCTGTAAAAATGATTAAAGGCATGTAAAAAGAAAAGTTAATGACATTTGTAAGGCCTAGTTTTATTTTTATAAACACACCATTGTCAACTAAATATATTACCAGTTAAATCAAAGTGAGGTCTAAATAGTTGAAGAGACCATTATGAAACATGAACTTCATTGTACAGTTTTGTGGTGCAAGGGGTAGAAGTATAGATTTATTTATTTACTTATATACAGTTTGGAGGCTACGCAACTCCAGAAGTTTCTGGACATCTTACACTTCAGAAAAGAAAGAAGCAATTAGAAAAGCAGATCATATATATCTTCTGTGGGGCAGGGAGGGAGGTACACATGAAGCATAAAAGACTAAAAGCAATAATAAAAGGTACATTTTAGCACTGATAGATAGATAATAGATCACTAGATAAAAATGGTCAACCTTAGGTAAACCTAAGTTCGCATTTGTCCACATAGTATCCTTCCTATGTGCTTAATGTTAGGTTTCCGAAAGATGCCCTAATTAATTCATGAGCCTCGAGCCAATGAGTTGACAACTAAGTTGACAAAGTTCTAGTTCACATACAACTGGAACTATACTGGAGAACATTGGCCTGCTTCCTCCTTCAGCAAATTATATAAAATTAATATATTAAACTACTGAACATGGTTGTAACATATAATCAACCAACCATCTGATAATACCTTTATTCTTTAATTGTCTCCTTCATCTGCTTAACAGACTGAGAAGATGTGCATGAGAAGACAAATGGGAAAATAAACAAGAAAGAGAAATTGCATTCTTTGCCTGCAAATGTGCAATTCAGTGTTTGATTGACTTGTTTTCACAGTTGAATTATGAACTAAAATATGTGGCTATCATTGTTCATGAAATGCTGAATTGGTAGACTTGACTAGGCACCTGCTAACACCTTGATGATTAGATGCAAATGACACTGAGACCATCTTACCACATATACTAACCCAATTCTTCTTGTTGTTGATATACAGTTCAATTATTAATTATTATTGTAGGCCTAAAACAGATGTTTAGACTGAATTTGGCATTTTTCCTACTGAATCTCTCACAACAAGATGAAATAGGCTTATAATTATCATTAATATTACCTTAGGGAAAACAGAATTTAGCTTTTCCTTACCTGCTGCAAATCTCTTTTTAATAAGTGAAAAACGATACCCAGCTCCAACAAGTTCAATATCACAGCTGGACAGAGTGCTTCCTTCGCTGGTGAACTGCACAACCAGTGGTGAAGGTTTACTTGGTCCTTCAGATAACTGGAATCGTGCAAGCAAGGAACCCACTCCTTCAGACAGAAAATTCATTTAGGTACATTAATATAGAAAACAATGCAATCTTGTGCCTAGACTATAGAGAGCCCATTAGTAAAATTCTGGTTGTAACATTAGATTTGGATTTCATATTAGTCTTTTCACATGACAAACCTATGCCCTGAGATAATTGAAGTTTGTAAACCATCTTGTAAACTTTTTTTTTGAAAGTATGAGTAACTTAAAGTATTCATGCTTTAAATCAGTTTATTCCAAATCATGCTTTAAGACATTTGAGCCACTACTTGAGGAATTTAAACTACTCTAAATTGCAAAATGGCAAGGTATTCAATTAACCCAGGAGTCTCCAAATTTAGCAACTTCAAGACTTCTGGACTTTAATCCCAGAATCCCACAGTCAGCATGCCAAGTTTGAAAACCTTAGAATTAACCTATGGTATCTTTGGAATTCACAATTTATCTCAGATACACTGGATGAATCTAAAAGTCTTGTATTAGTATAACTATTACAACATGTAAATTTTACAAAGAAGTTACTACTATGGTAAACTTAGCTATGTTTGAAAACTTTGAAACAGGCTAAAGTGTCTGGTATCATGGAATCAGTCCATGGGTCAAATTATATATATATATAGCTTGTTCAGTTAGGGTTCCATTTTGGTTTAATAGTTACAAAGATAACTGTTCAATATATGAATATATTTTTGAATTATATAACAACATTGTCTGCATTGTTTGATACATACATACATCATACTGTGTGTATATAATCATATGTTTTCTATGCTTTCTATTCTATTCTATTTCAAATTGAATACCTTAACTACTAGACTAACTGGACCTTGAAAAGATATGAGTGATTGATCAAAGAATGATGAACAGGATAGAAAGTTTTACCAGGAATATAAACTTGTATGATTACCTCCATTTTCCGATTTTTGAGAAATATCAGGAATTCTCCACAATATCCTTTGTTGTTCAGTATTCCTAAAAACATGAAAATAAAATTGCTCAAGATAGAAAACACTGAAGAACATTTCCAGCAAAACTGTATTCCATTCTAGAATATACAGTAAAATTAAGTATCAATCCATCTAATTCAATTTGTTTATGTTATGTTACAATTTTTTTTTCTGAATAAGGGGGTAGAGTAGGACTATGCAAAATGTTTTGAATTTGAGATATGTATTTATTTATTATTATTATTTTGACGCCTATCTCTAGGCAGATTATTCAAGCTTAAAACTGTTCTAATCTGTTGAGTCTCTAGTCTCAAAACTGTTCTATACTCAAAATGGCCCTGTTTCAAACTCAAAATAGAGTTATTTTTATTTTAAAATACTGAACTTCCAAAGTGGTCAAAAGTACTTTTTAAAAATTTAAAGTATTTTGAATTTGAAATGTTTAGCATGCCATGCTGTAAAATCAGTTTGTTACACTTATTTTCTGTATTTTAAGCTTAATGCTAAACTGTTAAGAATTCAGGAAGTTCCATATCCATTTGCATTCTGTACATATATCTCAGAGGTGTCAAACACAAGGCTTACGGGCCAGATATGGTTGGATCCAGCCAGCAGGGCTGTCCTGGAAAATGTAAGGGTCTGGCCCATGTCACTTCGGTCTACACAATGTAAAGAGGAAACATTGGGCCAGCATGGCTTCGGCCTGGTCTACCCAATGCAAAGAGGAAACATGCCAGTAGTTTGGGGAGTGACATCAAGCTGGCCATGCCCACCCAATTGGCCACACCCATCCAGTCAGCCATGCCCTCCCAGCCCCCAAGCTCAACCACAATCCTGATGCAGCCCTCAATGAAATTGAGTTCGACACCAGTAATATATTTGAATCAATGACTTGTGATACAAATAGTATCATAGCAACAATGGACCACTTCCTGGCCATTACTTTCCTGAAATTAAGTCTACAGTGAGATTTGCCAAGGGAAATCTGAAAACAAAAGTGATGGATAGATAGGTAATCCTTTCTGTTCCCACTCTGGCAAACCCTCTTTTATTTCTCAGCAATCTGTCATCTGTGTTTTTATCCTTGCTGAGGCATTGAAAGCCATTGAAAGAAGTCTCATCACTGTTATGTGCTATGAACTTTTTAAAGCAGGGATTAATTTTATAAATTATGGAGACTTTTAAAAGAGCTTTTGTTCATAGGTGTTATATTTTTTGATATTTACTGAATTAAAAATCAAAATTGACGCATTAATTGCCTTTCTCAAGATTATTTGATGGAATTTTTAAATATTTGTACTATGTTTCAACATTGGCTGGCAAATAATTTTGATACTGAGGACCCTTCAGACAGTTTGGGGAAGACTTCTGGGGATCCTGAGACCACACTTTGAAAAATATTGCATTAAAGCAACCATGTCTTCTTTGAGGCTTCTGTTTAAAAATTGCCTTAAGGAGTTGACTCACTGAGGTCATAGCCTTTTCCCCCCCTCACATTTGTGAAGAAGCCTGAAAAAAGTTATGGCTACCCTAATAAATTGCAGAAAGGCACTGTACTTCCACAAAGTCTGAAACCTTTATTAATAATTACAAAATGTATATGCCACAACTCCTAGTGACTCTGGGCTGTTTCCAATTGTAAAAACACATAAAAACAAATAAGAATACAAGAAATATCTTAAACACAAAAATAAACCCTTAAAAGGAACAGAGAAGGCTTCTTCTGAATGCTGTTCCCTCTTTCTCATTATACTTGAAATACTAAATACTTATTCAGACAAAGTTGTGCCAAAGTTTTAATCAGCATATGGCTCTTCATGGCTATAGCTTGCCAAGACTATTTCAGGCTCTCCAAAGGTTTTCCTCAATTTCAGTTATCAAGAAAGAGCATTGATGGAATAAGAAAGAGGCAAGGAGCACCTCTGATTCATACCAAATGGCAGGTGGAAGCACAGCTTGTAGTTTTGTCACTCCACCATCGATAGGAACAAGGAATTGCACATTGTTTAAAGCTACTGGTGTAGTCATTGCCTCTATATTATACTTGTAGTCAATGCGTAGATCTGTGCTTGTGGGTTCACACCGCCAGTTCACTGCAAGATTCAGTGGAGTAGATTGAATACCCTGCGTTGATACCTTGCAAGATAGAAAGAACATTTAGTATCTGTATGAGCTATCAGACACAGACAGGAAAAGAGTGTGAGAGAAATGTTTCATAATGAACACCTGAAGAGTTTATGCTTAAACTATGATTAGATACTCTGCAAGATCAGAAAGGCGCTCACACCTGGTATTTAAGCATATCCACATTATAGTATGTTGCTTGTGGTTTCTGTTCAGACACTTTCTTCAAGTGAGTCATCAAATTTGGCATGTTTACCCAGAACTCCTTTGTGTTGACATCAGCATGAGTGCTGTTACTGCATTAATTTAAAACAGGAGGAACACATGTCATTTTCATCAATACAAAATATTTGTTAGTTTTGTATTAAAATTATAGTTAATTCCAGCTGAAGAATTTCCCTTTAGGCTAGAGGAAATAAACACCATAATGTGTGATCTAGTGGTGTAAAGAAGACCGATGAACCCATGTCACAGTCTCTTGGGGTAACAGATTGTTTTCTTCTGACTATTGAAATAGTGTTCATGTTTTTTAAAAACTAGATTTAAGCTAACCTAAGTATTGCACTAGAGCCAGTTTAATTTGGGAGCCTTGTCAAAGAACAGAAAAAAAGAGGTTTCAGTGCAATTAAAAAAATCAATTAATAAACCAACAACATAAGCCATAAACATGTCTTACACAAAAGTTGCAAAAATCACTGTTTCCTGTAAAAAAAAAAACTTACTACAATGATATTTACCAGCAAAGAAGTTGAGGATTTGGCAAAACATGTTCCAATCTGTTGTAATTTGTCACACGAAATGTTAGAACAGCTGGAGCGGGGTTATTGGCAAAATGTCTAGTAATTCCCGCAGGAAATGACAGCACCATTTCTCCGGTAATCTTTACTATACATCTTCAGAATCAAAAGAATGCAGGCAGAGAAAAAGAGCACACAAATTATGCACAACTAGCGAGTTTTGAATCAAAACATATATATGTATACTTTAGTTTCTTGCTTTCAGCTCTCACTTCAGTCATCCATATTGACTTAATCTATCATACATTCATTTGGAAACATGAAAAATTGTGTTCAGAAATTTGAGCTATTGTTCAAAAGAATGCAAGTTCTTCAAATATGTCAGAATTACAAACTGAGTTATATCCATAATTTTCATCTTTTCAAAAATGACTACAAAATGTAGTCAAAATGTTTTAGAAAGCAGTTTTTAGAAAGCAAGATCAATGGCAAGGAAAAATCTATGAGGCTACACTCTTTGATTTATTATATTCCTCTGGAATTACATGAGTATAACATATGTCCTGAGGATGTATTTGTGCTGATTTTAGTGAATCTGCAAATGTGGTATAGTAGAATTTCACTAAGTGTACTTCTAAGCGCAGAAGACAGAAGGAGAAATATGGCACTTGGTCTCCTCTTCTATTTGCTCCGAAATTTGTTCCGAGTTTCCCAGAGACTGATAGCATTGGGGAGTAGGGGAGAAAGAGAAAAACCTCTAAAACAGTTCATCATCTCCTTCCAGTCATGAGAAAGTACATTAGATTCTAATTTGTCATCCCTGGATATTAAGGGATATTTGAAGAATTAAGTGGCATATTAATACCTGGACATTAAGGAGTATATTAAGAACTCTGACAAAATGGGTAGCATTAGGAAGAATATAATTAATCTTGGAAACTGTAATTTAAAGGACTGTCATTTTTTAAAAAAAATATCATGTCCCATTGTCATTCCACATTTTTCCCCAACACATTTATCTATAGAAGGCAAACATTTTCCAGATGGCACCTGGCACCAACAAGGTTAGCTAAAATCTTAACAAATACCTCCCCAAAATGTTGGAAATGCAAATCAATACACGGAACATATTACCATTTATGGTGGACCTGTGAGGAGACTAAATTTTTTTGGAAAAGGATCAAAAATTGGCTGGAGGCAATAACAGGGGTTAAAATAGAATGGAAACCTGAAGTTTTTTTTATTAGGGATTATGTCTGCGAAATACAAAAAAGAAATCCAGTATTTAATACTACATATAATTACGGCGGCAAGGATTGCCTTTGCCCAGAAATGGAAAAACAAATTAATTCCAAGCGAAGATGAAATAATAAGAAAGGTTATGAACTGTGCCGAAATGGACAAACTAACTAAAGAAAAGAAGAATCTGAATTCTACCAGATATGGGATAAATGGTATAGGTGGATGGAGGAAAGAAACAAAAATCAATGAAGGAATATAACAAAACTCAAAAAATAATAGTTATGAGTAAAATAAGAGGGTTAAGAATGGTGAAATCCAAATGAAATACAATAGAAGGGGAAATAATATAAGGTGAGCGGTATCGATTGATGATTGCTATTATAAAGAACAGGAAGTTCCTGTTCGTATTCTATTGTATAAATGTGGTGTACATCTAATTTGTGTGTGTGTGTGTGTGTGTATTTTACATGTTTGTTAATAAAAATCTTTTTTTTAAAAGGTAAACATTTTCTCTAGATTTGTTGCTTTATTGTGAACAAATGCTACTCCAGAGGAAATGGGTGGCATAAATCCAATCCTGAATTGCCAGCTAAATGGGAAGAGGAAGGGAAGAAAGGGCATAACACTTACTTGTTAGGATCGGCTCCTTTGAAATACGCATTCACAGTTTCAGTGAAAGCTGCAGCTACAGGGAGGGTGTCTTGTGCACCCATTGTTAAGGGGCTGGGACCTCTGGAAGAGCCTGCAACCAATGAAACCCAGACAGTCTTTTTCTCACTAAATCTTTTTTGTTCACTTCTTTCAAATCAATGTTAAGAAAAGATAGAGGTGGAGTTAAAAGTACAGGTAGTTCTTGACTTACAACCACACTAGGGGCCCAAAGTGGTGGAATAATTAAGTGAAGCATCACATGACTACAATTGGTGGTTTTCCTGTTTCCCACAGACTTTACTTGTCAGAAGCCAGCTGGGAAGATCTTAAACATGACTATAGGATGCTGTGACTTTTATAAATATGCAACAGTTCCTAAGTGCCTGAATTACAATCGCATCACTGTGGGAATGCTGTGACAAGTGCAAAGGCTGATGGTAAGTCACACTTTTTTTAAGCACTGTTGCAACTTTGAACCCTCACTAGAAGAATGGTCATTTGACAAGGACTACCTTTAAAAGCAAACTTGTTTTTTTAATCACAAAAGCAGTTTACAGATATATACAATATTTATGCATTTCTTTAAACAGCTAAGCCAATATAATTCAGACAATATCAAAACAAGAGGAATGTTTGATCAAAACATATTAATTGAAACACAGTTTTTTGCGTGGTTGTACAGTAGAACATGACCATTTGGGCCAATCATTTGAGGATTTCTATAATTGCAGTCTAGTGGTAAATGAATTTAAGATCATAATAATCTACTGGTAATAGTGAGTACTCAAATGTTGCTTAATATGAAAGAAAAAAGGGGAAGTCAACAAGAGAAAATCTAAAAATGTGTGCTGATTGCTCAATATTATCCAAAGAAGACTTAGTGTTTAACAGATCTGATTATGATGTTCATAAACATGGGAGAATGGCTGGAGAATGACAGCCTTGGCTGGAAGGAGGAACAACCACACTAAGAAAGATAATCATTCTTGCCATTCCTTCCTCCTCTCCTAGTTTAAAACAAGGCAGCACCAAAAATTCAATATATGAGTTCTCTGAAAAAAAGGAGATTGTATTCCAGTGGAAATTACTTTGAGATGTGCAGTTAGTTTTTTGTTTTATAAACCTCTGAAATAGGTTGAGAGACATAAAAAGATCATAGATACCTACATCAGTCTGGTATCATTCAGTTGTTGATTAGAAATCTAGAAATTGAAGTCCTAGCATCAATGTTCCCTCTAATTTTTTTTCAGTGTGCGCAGAAAAGTATAGTGTTTGAGCGGCACATTTTCATGCCTGAGCACCTGAATGTTTTTCAAAGATGTCACTCAAGACAACAACGAGGGACCCCAATGTGGTGGTGGCGGCTGATGCTTTGGGAAATGGGGGGGGGCTATGAGTTGTTGGAAAGGGACACACGCAACCCACACAACCCCGGAGTTGCTTACCAGCCTGCGATGGAATATAGAGGGGGGATTTATATAGGACCGGGCGAACGACAGAATCCGTGCTGAATTTTCTCTGGGAACCCCCCCTTTAAAAAAACATATATATTAATCCCCCCCTCTCTATTATGGATTTGATGAAGCCGTCCCATGCAGCGCCGGCTCAAATACTTTGTATTACGAAAGATGAGAATTTCATTAATTAATCATCTTCTACAAATCTCATTTTTAATACTTAATCAATAGTATACTCCCTCTTGCAGTGTGCATATATTTTAATTTTCAAAGAATACACTGGGATAAGAGTCAAACTTAGAAACCAAGTCAAGAAGAAAAGGTACAGATTTATTTTCAGGGCCATTTATGGATCTTGAATCCTTGTATATGATCAGCAAAAAGATAGTCTGTGATTTAAACTAAAACTAGAGAATGAGGATGATTTATTTAGAATGGGTTTAGTTAAACTGTCATGACTGAAATAGACTTGAATATATTATCGAGTTGTGAGCAGGTATTTTCCGTGCAGCAGGAGACCACATTTAGTAGTTCAGAAAGCTTCAAGATTCAATATATAGTAAAGTATTTACTATAGCAAACCCCAGCCATTTACCTCTCTGTACATTGTTAAACAGCTTTTAGTGCTTCTGTCCAAAATTAGGAAATTCTGCTTTCTGAGTTCTAGGTTCCCTCAAAATAGGTACTTTTTGGCATCAGGAGTAAAAACCCTATTCCATACCTTCTCACTTACTGTCCTTGGGGATTATGCATTTTAACTTTTTACTACTCAGTTTTTAAATATCCTATTTAATGAAAGTCCTTCATCTCACCTGCCTTCAATGTGTATGCCCTATCGGAGAAAAATGTGAATACATTTAAGTACTTTTAAACTTCTAGAATAAATAAATAAAGTTCCATGCATACATATAAACATAAATTAAGAAATAAATTAAAATAACTTATTTGTTCCTTTCTAACAATGCAGTAATCGTAACAATCATTCTTTCCAAACTCTTAGAACCCAAATAATTAGAAAAGTCCTAGTCTAAAGATTTTTTGTTGAGCAGATCATCATCCACATCATCATCATCATTATCATCCAAACTATCAGAGAACAAAAGTGTGTATGTAAAAGACAGCCAAGAACAAGCAGTGATGCAAATTAAACACTGGATGTTACTAAATGTACAGAAAACAAAAAGTGAATATCAAAATGGTATAAAAAAAGAGAGTCCTGAACAGTATTCTGGTAAAGAAAAGCATTATTTGGTCAACTTCTGCAAAAGATCCAGGAGAAAGTGGATAAAGATAAAATCTGGCAATGGCTTATAGTTGGAACATTAAAAAAAATCGAAGACTCCACTTTGGCTGTGCAAGAGAAAGCTATTAGAACTAATGCAATCAAGGCCAGAAATGAAAAATTAAATGATTAAAAATGCAGATTGTGCAAAAAAGTAAAAGAAACAGTAGATCATATACTCAGTTCATGCAAGATGACACAAATTGATTATAATCAATGACATAATGCAGTTCCCAAAACTGATTCATTGGAACATTTGTAAAAAAATATACACAAGTTATGGAAAATTGGTGTGAATATTAAGTTGAAAAAGAAGTTGATGATGGGCAGGTGGGATTTTTAAATGCAGACTGATAAAGTCTTAGCTCATAATACACGAGACATAACTGTGGTTGAACATACAAACTGTGGATAAATTGATGTGGCAATACCAGAGGATAGTAGAATAGAAGACAAAGAATTGAAGAAGAACATGAAGTAACAAGATTTGAAAATTGAAACTGAAAGAGTATGGCATAAACCAGCTACGATAATCCCAGTTGTTACTGGCATACTGGGTGCCATACGAAAAAAAACTTGGAATTTAGAAGAAGAAAAAGTCCATCTGTCAATTGCAAAAGGCCACAATACTTGAATTCACCTATATATTACACCGCTGCATTATGACATCCTAGATTTTTGGGAAGAACTTGATACGTATGGAGACCAACACCAGCTAAATAACTGGCAACTCTGATTTCACATTGTTGTGAACAGATAATAATAATACTTTATATTTTTGTCATGCAAGTGAAGGGAACAACTACAACAACCGGGATTAAGCCTAAAGTAAAAAAAATATGTGATTTAGAATTTGTCCAGGTCCCATCACAACTATGGGCCACTCATCGTTTCTCAAATACAGGAACAGATATCATCCTCCACCAACTCTCAGCCCATCACAAATATATGCCCTGCCTATGTTTTGGAGCTCTGCTTCAAAACTATTCTGAGCAATCTTAAGCATTTCCAAGCGATTGATCTATCACATTTCATTCCAATCTAACATACCCCCAGCACTATTTGACTACAGTATCTTGCATGCTCTCCCCAACTCAGCACCAAGTTTCTGCCTGTATGATTATTTCATCCTTCTACTTTCTTCCTGTTCTTCTTTCAGTTGACTCATTGATGGCTCATAAAGGAAATGAAGTCCAATAAAGACTTCTGGCTACCACGTGCTTCCTATTTTTGCAAAATAGCTTTGTTCTATCCTTACATTTTCAGGTGACCACAATTTGCATAGGTTGGTTGAAGCATACTCTTATTTATTTCTCCTTCTGTGTATGTTATACTGCAAAGGCTCCCTCCTCCACAAACCTCTTTTTAAAAGTCTTTTGGCTGCAGTGTAGGCATGTTGGAATGCAGGTACAAAATTTCAGTGAATAGCAATAGCAATTAGACATACACCATTTTACAGCTCTCTCTAAGCAGCTTAGAGTCAGCATATTGCCCCCAACAATCTGGGTCCTCATTTTACCCACCTCGGAAGGATGGAAGGCTGAAAATGGAATTTATTTGCTTCCATGAATCTGAATCATCAGTTCTTTAATACTGCACAATTAATACTTATTCTGTATGGAAATAACAAAAACCATCTAGTATAGATAGTCCTCAATTTACAACCACAATTGACACCAAAATTTCTGTTGCTAAGCGAGGAGGTGGTTGTGAGTTTTGTCCCATTTTACAGTGTTTTTTGCCACAGTTGTTAAGTTGAAGATATTAAGTGAATTGTATAATTGTTAACTGAATCTGGCTTCCCCCAATTGGCTTTGTTTGTCAATAGCCAGCTGAAAAATATATAAATATATGCCATTTGCCAAGCCCCTGAATTTTGATCATGTGACCATGGGGATTTTGCAACATTTGTAAGTGTGAAAAACAGCCATAAATCACTTTTTCAGTGCTGTTATAATTTCAAAGAGTCACTAAGGAATGATTGTAAGGACTATCTGTATAGAGAATTGGGGAATTGACCTTGAGAGAAATAGGCAGGAACTGTTATATAAATAAAGAGGGACTGAAACTTTCCTGAAGTCCTGGGAATCAAGATAATATTTGGAAAAAACTCAGGCAAGGTTCTCCTTGATTCACTGGGATATAACAGGGTGAGGAGAAAAGTACAATCAGGGTAGCTTATCTCAATAAAGTGCTAATGTAGAACATCAGTCTATGATATGATGGACATAATCAATCAAGTACAGTTCTAGTTTTCTTGGGGAGTTGATTTTTTGGTCTGATTCACCCCAAATGGCTGACTATTATTCCCATTACTTATTTATTATAGCATCAAGGTAACAATGGGCAGGG